AATTACTCCAGCGGTAAACAAAAGGAGCTCGGGTGGAGCGAGGAGAAGAGAGGAGAGGAGTGACAGATGAGAAAACACAGCTGGCCGAGCGCCGTGTTATTATAATTCTTTAAGCGATACCGTTAGCTTTTAGCTGCACAGCTAATGACCTGCTAGGGCTAATTACAGGCTAAGCCTGGACGCAGTCCTCCTTCCTCGGGTGGTTGTTAACCTCCCCCGCTGCCAAAACCCAACTCCCATTAACCCCCACCACTTCTCTTTAACCACTAAACGAGTCAAATTATCTTTGAAGGTGTTGGATTGTTCTTTAAGAAAACTTTTCATCGTGAACACATCAGGAAAATTCAAAATAGGTTAAAAAAATCCAACTTTTAGTGAAGAATGTCAACATAAGAAATTTAAGAAAAACAATCGTTTGCAAACTGTGTGTGTTTAAATGGAGAGTGTAATAAAATGTGATATTTTTTTTTTTACTTTAGTACCTGGTAAATACTAACTTTAAATCTACCACACTGTAATAGTGAATACTAGAAACAAAAAGTTTTAAAATCTTCAATTTTCCAGTTTCAAAATGAAGTTTTCCTGTTTTCATCACCTGCCACCAAAAGGTCAAAGAGGCATGTGAAAATGTTTTTGTCTCTGTGCATGTTTGCTTGTTAGAAAAATATCTCATATTTCCCATTTTTTAGCCATTAAAGGCATTTTGTTTTGTACTTGGAGTCTCTAGGAGGCAGAAAAGTTKAATTTAGTCTCTCCTGATGCTGCAGAGATATCTTTATATTCTGTTTGGGTCATATTTGTCAACCTGTTCAGTTTTCTCCATTTTCTGATCTATTACGTCAAATTATTTGTGATAGAATTGTTAAAGAAGGTCTGGACCAACTACAATTTGGTGGTCTTCATTYTCCTCTGGCTCTGGGTCAGACTCTGGTTCTGGGTCTRACTCTGGCTCCAACATGTAAGGCTGGATGGACAAGTCTTCTCTTGTTCACATCTTTTAAKTMATTTGTAAATACAAAGGTCCTGTGCCGCTATATAGTCATAAACCTCCTCTATCAAACTAGAATATATCAGTCAGGAAGCTGGAGGGGGTTGGGGTGTGAAACCCCTCCTTTGGATTTAAAGAGAYAGCCTCAAAACGAGTTATTTTKAGATACAGCTCAGAAAAGGGGCGGGGCTTGTGGCACTACAATGAGGAGGAATTCAGACCAAAGCATTATAGTTCCTATTTATATAGACTCATACTGAATGGTTTAAATGTGAAAAATAAGGATTTAAAAGCACAATATGTCTCCTTTAAGATGGCTGACAGTCAACTGACATTAAGACAAATTATAGATTGTTAGGATTGTTTGCTTGCTTTTAAATTACAGTATTTTTATTTTGCTGTGCAGCACTTTGGTTGCCTTTGGATGTGTAAAGTGCTATATAAATAAAGTTTTGATTGACTGATTGATAAATGGCTACAATTCAGCCATTTTACAGATGTTGATTTAGAATTTGGTGTGGTAGTAGCTGAGAGTCATCCATAGTTTTTCATGATACGTTAAAGTGCTTGTAACATCAACTTTTTGTAATAAATATGAATTGATTTTTGGAAAGATAACATTGGTAACATATTGCTAAAAAAAATTTCATGCCACTGACATGAACAGTTGTTCAGATATTTGCATGTGAAGAAACAGGAAGTGATGTCAAAGGGGAATGTCTGCATGTAAACACTGCATTAGCTAACAACACAGACTAAACAAGAATCTGATGTTTCTTTAAATTATTTTGAGTCACTATTAGAGAGAWGAAGMGATAGAGTTCAAATTGTRTTGTTTCGACAAATAGACCTTTCTTTAAAGAGTTCCCCTTTTTGATGTCACTTCCTGTTTCACTTTTGTTGGGTCAAGTTCAAAAGAAGATATGCCAGTTCTGTGACAAAATAGGTAAAATTKTGTGTATTATGCCAGGTTTCTTAAAATAAAGTTATTCACGTTGACTTTTTGCATTTCAAGGATAGGTATGTCACATGCATTTTATAGATTTAGCCTGAAAAATAGTGCTCCTTTAATTAATTTACAATTTGAATTGACTGAGTGGAATATTATCAACAAAAAAAATTAATTTCTGGAACCAAAACTGCAAGAAAAGAGGAAAGAAGATGTTAAGTATACACAGGGATTTTTTTAATCTGACTGCATAACCACACAGGTCAGGGGAAGGTTTCCTGGATAGAAAGGAAAACCGTTTTTTTTTTAGGAAACACAACATAAATCCAGTCACGATGAAGAAAGTGTTTCTTTAAAACATCTATGTGGAAGCTTGTGTAGACACAARTGATTAAAAACAAACACCTTGCTGCCTTCCGGCCTCAGATCTGATGTTATTTGGGGGAAAGAGAGAGAGAAAAAAAAGGTGYWGAGGTGAAGTACGGGTGAAATATTCCTTATAGCTGGATCTGTGTGGCCTGAACTGACGGAGCTGCAGCTCGGTGCCAAAATCCAGCCTGAAGGACCATCATCTGCACATTTCCCAGGACGGGTGCGCTCCTCATCCATCACGGCCTCCTCCTCGTCTCTGGACTGAGTGATGCCGTATTGAAACCATATGCCCTCCAGAATTCCTGGCGGATCCTCCCATCCCGTCCGATCCCTGCAGCCCTCGGCCCGGCTGCGGATACGCGGCCATCACGAGGGCGGGGGGGGTGGTCGTCGGGGGGCCCGCCGGCTTCCTGTGTAAGATCTAAATATTTACACTCCCAGTGGTCCCGAGTGGCGGCGCAGAGAGTTATGTTTTTGGGTTATGAAAAACGGTCATGTTTAACAGAATGTTGTCGTCGGAGAGAAGAAAAAAACCTCAAAAACAAAACAACAGAAGCAGACTTTGGACTTTCACTTGGCTTATTTACTGCAACAAGTGAGGGGTTTCCAGAGATGTTGTCCAACAATCAAATAAATTCATCACTACTTAAAAAAATYGTAAAACTTCATTTTCTAACATCTTGTTTTTACAGCGTTTTGAAGTGAAGACGCTGTGAACAAACAGAAAGCAAAAACCAACGCGGCTGCAAACACATCTGTTTACCTGCAGATGGTAGAGCCATTAAAGCGAGCGCACGAGGTGAAGCACAGGACTCTCAGGTAGCCGGCCAACATGTGCTGCTCCGGTTCTGTGCACTAAGCTGGGCTTTGGCTCCAGGCGACAAAAGAAGTGAGTCAGTTCTACCCGAGATCTGGACGCAAGCTAAAACAAAATGATCCACTGTTGGTTCTGGTGCATCACTTTTTATAGATCCAACAATCTACTTTGGTCTGATGYAAACATGTAATAATGTCTTAAAGGGGGATATCGTGTATTTTTCAGACTCATAGTTCAATTCTAACCACAATCAMGCAACTGTTACCTTCAGTTGTTACAAAAATGCTGTTTATAATAAAAAATAAACTAGACTTTGCATCATAGCTCATCGAAACACCTTTAAATTGGCCTCTGTTTCTAACCTCCTACCGTTTCTGACACTCCCACTTCAGCACGTTTTCACAAAAATAATTCCAGCGAGGGGTGCTCTGTGGGGCAGGAGCTCRACTGCWGACTGAGYTCCGGGGAGGAGCTTTGTGWAAATAGGCGGAGCTTTGTACCAGCAAGTGTTTAGGCAGCTCMACATGGCTGCCACAGGAGATTCAAGGATTTCTCCAACATGAATGAGTCAAAGCAACACTCTGGGGATGTTTTAGATGAGGGAATRACATTATAGCATGATATAAACCTCAAATAAGTCGATTTGGCACAACATMCACCCTTTAAAATAATGCTAATGCTACTTTTGGCCCAGTTGTACTTAGAAACGGGACTTTTCTAGTTACAGGTTAGAAATTGAAATAGGAAAATAAGGGCATGATTGGACACACTCACCACAACTCAGCAGTGAGTAAAACTCTCTTACTTTTATATTTTATAGTATTTCTGTATTTTTTTTTTTTACCTCACATGTCAGCGGTACACGTAGTACTTTTTAGTGTTTATAAGCGGACGTGTGAAAACATTATTTCTATGCAGGAAATACAAGGTAGAGCTCAGTTACTTGCTATATTCGGTCCAGGGGACTCTCACTGGCCTTGATGCTCACAYCTGGTTTAGATGATGAAGATTACAGAGACAACAATGTAGGTTTWTCACCTGAAATGCATCAAAAAAATTAAAATAACTTGTCGTTAGCTCAACGYTCACTCACAGACTCTGATGTAAGTCTGGGCTTCAGGAGAAGCTGTTGGTTCAGGAGCCGAAACGAGACAAACCAAGACAAACAGCAGCTCCAGTCACAAAGTGAAGCCTGACCGGAGCAGCTAAGCTCCTTAAAGCTGGGCCACAGTTAGATGAAGGGTGGGTTTGATTTAATCTGAAGTGCTCGACAAGCTAATATCATCAGGATTATMCTTTCCTCATTACATCACCTGGTAAGTAGCTACAGTAGCAAACAAGATTGAGATCACCTGGCTAAGTGAGGATTGTTACAATGGAGTCAATTCATGCCACGAGAACCAAAAAAAAAACCCAACAGAAAATCTATTATTATCAAACACACGTGCCAATTTATACATTTTTTGTATTGAATTTGTAGCCAAATCCTCCCAGCAACTGTGAAACTCAGCCTGTGTGGAAACATCCAGGGAAATCCCCTTCATAAATCACACGTTTTATTCCAGCGTTCAAAAAAAACAACCATTCTTTACTTAAGATTCAGATTTTAGAGATGTGGTCCACCTCCCTTAATCCACACGAGGAAGCTCCAGTAAAAATAAATCATGTAAATAATCCCYGCGCTTCAGTTTCCCTCTGCTAGGGGCTGATTAGGAGGAGACTCAGCAGAAGCCAGGTTTAATTTATCAAGGATTTCAAAGGGATGAAACATGTGCTGCTTATCCGGTGATCTCAGCAGCTTGGACGTCAGTTCTGGAAGTTATTCTGGGTTTTAAACKTCAGGTTTCAGGTTTAGCGAGGATGTGCGGACTGACCTGCGGGGCCCAGACCTCGGGATGCTCCTCTCGGCTGCGAGGATCGGTTGCGGTTCTGCTGCCGCCGTTTCCCGCCGGTGGAGCGGGCGGCGCGGATGTGCACCTCGCTGACTTTAAAGAAGGCCACCATGAAAGGCTGCTTCTCCAGTGCRCCGTCACGCCCTATAAGCCCCGCCTCCTTACAGCTGATGCTCTGCCCTGCAGCAAAAAAGATAAAGACGATCATCGATAAGTTTGACACCTTAAATGAAAAAAGAAATGACTTAAACTACAATCGTGTATTTTTAAATGGTGTAAAYGCTGAGTCAGCATTAAAACTGTTCTCCTGTTTATTATTCCTAAGCTACTTTTAGCTGTTAGCTGGACTATTGCTACTTTTAGCTTCAAGCTATTGTTTTGACAGTTTTTATTAACCTCTTGTTACTTTTTGCTCGCTTATGCTTTTTCAGCTAGTCTTTTGCTGCTTGTYGCTAATTYTGTGCTACTTTTAGCTACTTTTGCTACTATAGCTATGTATTTGCTACTTTTAGTTACTTTTTTGCTGATTTTAACTTCCAGTTGTTACTTTTTTACATCTGGCAATTAGACAGCTTTTTTAGTTTCTGTTGTGCCTTTAGCATTTCTTWTGCTTCTTTWAGCTTSTATTATGTTTTGTTTAGCTTCKGTTCTGCTACTTTTAGCTTATGYTTCTTTCCTTTAGCTTATGCTTCTTTCTTTTAGCTTATGTTATGTTTCTTTAAAAAGATAAAAGAAGCATAGTGGATTCTTTCATCTGTTTTCCGTCATTTAGCTTTGTTTCTGCTACTTTTAGCTTATTCTCTTTCTGTTAGCTTTGTTCTGCTAATTTTAGTTTATGTTGTCTTTCTTTTAGCTTCTATTGTGCTTCTTTTAGCTTTTATTCTGCTAGTTTTAGCTATTGTGCTTCTTTTAGCTTTTGTTCTGCTTCTAGTTTTTTTTAGCTTAAACTGTTTTGCTCTTAGCTTCTGTTGTGCATCTTTTATCCTCACGTATCTTTAAGCTTCTGGTGTCTTTCCTTTAGCTTCTCTTCTGCTAATTTTGGCTTATACARGCTTATTTTAGCTTCTGTTGTGATTCTTTTAATTTCTGTTGTGTTCCTTTAAGCCTCTGTTGTTTATTTTAGCTTCTGTTCTGCTACTTATGCTGTCTTTTAGCTTCTGTTTTTCTTTTTAGTCTCTGTTCTGCTTCTTTTAGCTTCTGTTTATTTATTAATCTATTTTTTTTTTTTTTGCTTCTGTTGTGCTTTCTTGTTTCCATTCTGTTTTTTATTTTACCTTCTGTTTTGTTTACTTTYAATTCTGTTTTATCAGAAGGATTTTTGTGGATTTTTCGTTCTGTAATCTGATAAAACGTCAGAGCGAGCCTCACCACTGCTGGTCTCCACGCCGACCTGCAGACCCAGGTTGTGGGCCGGACTCATGACCCACAGGTTGCTGGTCGCGGTGATGTCGAACTCCAACCAGCCCTCCTCGGTGGCCCAAAGTCTGCGAGACTCCAGCAGGAACAGATCCGCCTCTCTGACACAACATGACAGAAAAAGACACAGAAACTCAAACATGGTGAAGAAAACACAAAAATATTCAACCTCCTTCATGTTTTGTTCCTTTAACTGGTTTTAATGGAAAAYGGCTGCAACTCAGTTTATCCTGATGTGGTGTGATATTAGCCGAGAGTCATCCTCTCTCAGAACARAGATGAATGATCTTCTCTCCAAATGACAGAACATTAACACAAAACCTCCGGGACAGACTTTATTTTACTTCACTGAACATCTGACCTCAGAGTCTACCTCTCTGAGGGTCCGGGAAAAGGAAGGAACTAAAGGTTTGGCATGGAGATAGACGTGTGTTAACACCATTTGTAATATTTGTGTGAAGGAGTCAGAAGGAATGCTTCGGAGAAAAAAAAGTGTGACTTTTCAACGAGAACAGAGCGCAGGAGACGGTAAGGAAGAGGCGGCGCGAGCGATAAGAGGGTCCGCCCTCCCGCAGASCCGTCACGGGGGTAATAACACGGCGCCGCGTCAGCCGGACCGTCCTCCAGAACCAACATCAAAGCCTCGCAGGTGTTCCCTGCAGTYGTGACCCTGCAGCCCCTCGTTGTTGGTCTGCAACGTGAGAGTTTCTGTTGGGTCCGTCACACACCACGCTCAGAGAACAGCAGGGAGTCCATTAGAGAGCCACTACAGTAAAAACTCTGCTCACCGACTCAAATCAGCTGCAATAACAAGGTCAAAGGTCAAGGCAAGTTTCCTTTTAGTGCCTTAGATTCACTTGATGGGAGGTAGAAGAAAGATTTATGGATTTTTTTAATGAGCTTTTCATGTTCAAAATACCAAAACAGGGTGTTTGTAAGGTTACCAAATTAAAAAGTGAGTCTTCTAAAAAGTTTTTGTTTTTAGCAAAAATGTGTCTATAAGCTTGTAGGATAGCACTGTTTAAAATGAAAAGTTTCCCACTTAAAGTTTTAAATGAAAGTCTTAATCTGYTAAGACTCAAAATGTGTGTTATGTATGACGTTCAGCTACTATAACAACAAAACTGAGCACATTATCTGAACAATTAGCTAAATTATAGCTAGTTTTTGTTGGCTAATGACGACCACTTTGCATTGAGTTAACCCCAAACACTAATCTGTTAAAATGCACATCAAATAATTGTTTTTACTAAACTCTGCCCACTGCTTTGTGAGATTTTTTGCTAACAGACAGGCGAACAAACACACAGTTCATGATAATTAAAAACGCCGGTCAGAGTCGGCGGGACCTTTTTTCTCCTGTTGGTTCTGTCACATTTCTGGTGTTATAATCCCCCACATTCCTGGCCTGCTGCTAGAGAAACCACTCCAATCAAATGAAAAGTACAAAGGGTGTCAAGCTAATTAAGTGCTCTGTCATTACGGCTCGGAGCCAAACCAGGAGTCRGGTTTTTGTTCAGAGGAGGAGCGACCGAGAGTTATTTGGCTTCCCGCAGGTCRAGCGATTAGAAAGCTACAGTTTGACCGAAAGGTGGGAAAAAAGCAAACTARAAAAAAAATGCAGAGAGATTGCTGAGCAATGAAGGACTGCTGGACCTGAAACTGAGCCGTCTAAGGTTAACTGGTGAAAAAAAATTAAGCAAAACTTAGCTAAAAAAAGCTAAGACTATTACAACAGTAGCTACAAGCTAAAATCAACAAGACAGCAGCAACAAGCTAAAACCAACAATACCGTAGCTACAAGCTAAGATCAGCAAATCAGTAGCTAAAAGCTAAAACCAACAAAACAGTAGCTACAAGCTAAAACCATCAATACCATAGCTAAAAGCTAAAACCAACAAAACAGTAGCTACAAGCTAAAACCATCAATACAGCAGCTACAAGCTAAAACCAACAAATCAGTAGCAACAAGCTAAGATCAGCAAATCAGTAGCTAAAAACTAAGACCAATAAAACAGTAGCTACAAGCTAAGACCAGCAAAACAGTAGCTACAAGCTAAGACCAGCAAATCAGTAGCTACAAGCTAAGACCAGCAAAACAGTAGCTACAAGCTAAGACCAGCAAATCAGTAGCTACAAGCTAAGACCATCAATACAGTAGCTACAAGCTAAAACCAACAAAACAGTAGCTAAAAACTAAGACCAATAAAACAGTAGCGACAAGCTAAGACCAATAAAACAGTAGCTACAAGCTAAGACCAGCAAAACAGTAATTACAAGCTAAAACCAACAAAACAGTAGCTACAATTAAAGACTTGCAAAACAAGCTACAAGTTAAAACTAAAAAAACAGTAGCTCTAAGTCAGGGGCGCCCAAACATTTTCCCTCAGAGGGCCAAAACAAAAATCAGTCTAAGGGCCAAATGCATGAAATGTAAATACTTCTTAAGTAAGGTTGTTGGAAATCTTATGTAAGCTCAGGCAGCAAACGCTCATGGGACTTTTTAAAAATTATAAAATTTTAGTATTTGTGATCTAATAAAGTGTACCAGTAAAACTGTAGCTGCAAGCTAAGACTTGCAAAACAGTAGCTAGAAGTATAAATGTTTAAAATAGCTGAAAGTATACTATGTAAGTATGTAAAGTCCAAACAAATGTTCAAAGGAAACTATAAACTGTAATTTAAGCCACAACTTGGTAACTCACCACCACATCCAGATAAGACCACAAGCCTGCCAACGTAAAGTAGCTTTAATGTTATTTTAGCTTAACCACTGTGCTACTTGTGTGCTTTCACACCTGATGTGTTCTTTAATTAACTTCAAGGTGCAAAACCTAGTCTACAATAAWACAGAAATGTGAGGTAATCTGGCCCTTTAATCTCCAAATATCTGCAAAAAYAAAAGGTCTAACCTTCAGGGAGCCTAAAAACCACAGAATGGAAAGATGAAGGGATGTTCTTCATAGTAAATGAACCATTTGACACAGAAAACATGTCTTTAACAAACATACAGAAAATGTGTTATTTATATTATCGGTGCCTGCTATAAAAAAAAAAACACATGAATCGATGGAGAAGATGAAGCTTGTTGTGTCACCTGTCAGGATGCTCCTTGACCACCTGGTAGACTCTGAGCAGGAAGCTGTCGTTGCGGAACGCCCCGCTCACGCACTCCTTGTAGAGGCGAAACTCAGCGGCGGTGACGGCCTCGCCCTCTGGGATCTGCGAGAGGTTGAACTTAAACTCCTTGTGGTGACGTCGCTGCGGGGACAGCTCCCTGTCGAACTCCACTGTCAGACAGAAACAAAAATACAATAACCACCATGTTTTCGTGTRACTACTTCTTCATGGTTTGAACTGTTTCAGTCTTTGATTCCTGTAACTTTTAATATCCAGAATAATGTTTTATTGTCTTTCTCTTCAATTTCTTCAAGAATATTGYTCTCTTTAAAATATGATTTAACAAACTGGCTCTGATTTTTGCCTTACGGTACTTTTAGCCATTTGCTAGTTTTAGTTTTGCTGCTTTTAGCTTTTTGCTATTGTTTTACTGGTTTTAGCTAGCATTCTACCACACATAGGTTTTAGACACAGTTCTTCATTTTTTATCTTTTAGCCAGCCTTTTTGTTACTTTCAGYTTTTAGCTACTGTTAAATAGTTTTTAGCTACCATTTTACTACTTATAGATTTTGGCCAAAATTTTGCAACCTCAGTACCTTTGTGCTGCTTTTAGCTACTGCTTTTCCCTTCTATTTACTGCTTTTCGCTTTTTTTATTCAACTATTTATAACTTTTAGCCACCTTCCACTACTTTTATCTCTCACTTGGCTTTAGGTACTTTTGGCCAGAGGTATACAAAGTACTTAAAAGAAAAAACTAAGTAAAACTAAAAATACCTTAGCAAAAAAATATACTTTTGTAAAAATTACCAATTACCAAGTAAAAAAGAAGTAAGTCTTCCAAGTTCTAAATTTGATAAAACAAAAGTAAAAGCTGCAATGTAAAAAAAAATAGTAAAATTACAAACCTTCAAAAAAAACTTAAATACTGTAACAAAGTAATGTATTTAGTTACTACACACCTCTGCTTTTGGCTTTTAGCTACAATTTTGCAGCTTTTAGCATTTTCTGCTTTGCTAGTTTTAGCTTTAAGCCTCTAAATTGGTAATTGTCGCTATTCTTCTGTTTTTAGCTACAGTTTTGAGGATTTTAGCATCTGCATAGCMTATTTTAGCTACTTTTTTGCTAATTTTAGCTTTAGCATTTGCTTCAGTACAGATGTGCTTATTTAAGTTTTTGTTTTTACAAATATCAGTACTGTTTTGCCATTTTTTTATCATTTTATTTTATTAAATTTAACATCTGTTTTGCTCATTTTAGCTTATTCAAAGATATTTTAGCTTGTTGTGCATTTCTTTTCTGCTTTTATTTGACTTTGTTTAGCTTGTTTGAACTTTCCTGTARCTCAGTTTTAGCTCCTTCAGCAGATTTCATCCAGTCTTTCAGCCCTTAGCATTAACACAGCAGTTTTGCAGAAAAAGCAGTTTTTATTTTAAAATATTGTTTTGAAACYTGTCTCAAAGTTTTGACCCAAATAAGACTAAAGTATATGTTTACAAACAGGCCTTCCATTTAAATCCCCATCAGTGAGTGATGAGCGGATATCCCTTTCACAGACTCTGCTCTGAGGTCGACCACGGAAGTCTTTAAAGCTTGTAAAACATGTGATTTTTACATAAAGTCTAATAGGTTCTGTGGTTTCCACTCCCCAAAAATAAATCCTTCTTATCATCAGTTTAAACTGAATCCCATGTTGTTGTTGTTTTTCCAACAAAAACAGAGAACTGCTCCTGACGATGTGAAATGACAAAAACCAACACTCTCCACTGTTTTTAGCAGCATTGTAATGATGTGTTCTCTGTGAAACTGGTTTCCACTTAAGCTGGAAGCTTCACTCCCACAGCAGAGGGCCGGTCAGGTTGGCAGACACCAGGTTAACCACCTGTTCTACCCCACCTTGAGATGTCTAAACTTGGTTCCCTGGTTCCTTTTCCTATCATCTATCGCTTGTTCCAAAGGGAAGCAGCTTGATCAGGTTTTCCAGACATCCCAGTCAATATTCCAGACAATAGTCGTTAATAGTAGGGGTGCAACAATACATGTATCTGTATGGAACTGGTCAATACTGTGCTTTAGGTTCAATACACACTATGTATGGAACAGTACAGACTTTTTACATTTATTTTATCAGCTTGTCTTCTGTGTTGAAGGATCAGTGGATCTGTGTTCGACTACTCCACCTAGGCTGCATCGTCGAGCACAGATTCACTGAGAAACTTGCTGTTTCAGCAACATTTTATTTAAAAACTGTACTTTTGAGGTTAAAACAAATGTTCATAATGAATTTCAATAAATTACAAGTTAAGAAGGGCATGGAAATTTCTCTTTTTTGTACTGAAAAAATATTGAACTGTGAGACTAAAGTATTGAACCGAATTGTGAATTTTCTGTATTTTTGGACCCCTWGTTAATAGCACTGTGTTCTGACAGGAATATGATGATATTATGATACATATCATAACACGGGTCACGATATATTGCAATACTGTAAGCAAGACGGTATATTGCCATTTTTTCAGTATGTTTCATATGATTATTCACAATGCTAATGCTTAGGCTTTAAAGCCTCGATTTAAAAAGTGATATGGTGCTTTAGAGCAGTGTTTCCCAAAGTTGGGGTYGGGACCCAAAGTGGGGTCCCGAAAAATCAARGTKGGGTCCTGAAAAGATTTTCAGAAATAATAACATTTTTGCCTTAGTTGTTACAAAGGAGTGAAGTTAGTGTATTTAAAATGGATAAATGTAGTATAAAAATATTGTTACTATGCCCATGTTT